CTCGCTTACAAACCTTAAATACGACAACAGACGAAAGCTCATATGCATCATTTGCGACGGCCTCGTCGTTGGTCAAGGGAATGACCGGACTACGCCGAAGATCATACTCGAGCTGCTTGGCGTTGATCAGACATACGACCCTCCAGCGTGGGCGTTCAAGTCCATCGGCGCAGGGAGCGCACAGCTAAATTATGGAAAGGTATATTCCGGCCTCTACGAACACGAGGGAAATATTGTTCCGTATGTCGTGATCGTCAAGGTTGGCAAGGAGTCTGAGCAGTCCCGAGCAAAGCCGGGAAATCGTGGGAAGCGAGACTCACAGATGGTTCTGATGAGCTTTTTGAACAGAGTTCACCACAACGCCCCGATGAATCCGTTGGAACTTGAGCTGTTTCACCACATTAACACCATTATAGGTGTCGACCCTCAGCTTTATGAGTTCTTACTGATGGTTGACGCCGATACATGTGTTGACGAGGATGCATTAAACCACTTGGTCGCTGCTTGCACTGAGAATACCAAAATTGCGGGCATATGTGGCGAGACCACGTTGGCCAATGATCAAAGGAGTTGGTGGACAATGATTCAAATATATGAGTATTTCATCTCTCATCACTTGGCCAAAGCCTTCGAATCATTGTTTGGCTCCGTTACTTGCCTGCCCGGATGGTTTGTCACCCAAATCTCTTTCACAATGAAATTTGCTGACCAGTTCATTCATTAGCTTTACGATGTATCGTTTGGAAACCTATGATGGCAGGAAGCCTTTGATCATCTCGGATGCCGTGATCGAGGACTATAGCATCTGCGACGTAGAGACTTTGCACATGAAGAATCTCTTATCCCTCGGCGAGGACCGCTACTTGACGACCCTCATGATGAAGCATTTCCCGCGCATGTGGTTCAAATTCCTACCAGAAGCCCAATGCCAAACTGCCGCTCCAGAGTCGTGGAGCGTCCTTCTGTCACAGCGAAGAAGATGGATAAACTCCACCATCCACAACCTGGTTGAGCTGATGCGCCTTGAAAACATGTGCGGTTTCTGCTTGTTTGGCATGCGAGCCGTCGTTTTCGCAGATCTTTTCGGCACTATTATTTTCCCAGCTACCTGCGTATATCTGGGATATCTCTTTTATCGACTGGGGACAGGGACTGGTCCATTCCCTACGATCTCAATAGCCCTGTTGGCAGGGACATATGGACTGCAGGCTCTGCTTTTTCTGTTCAGAGCAGACTGGCAACATATAGGCTGGATGATTATATACATCATGGCACTGCCTCTTTACTCTTTTGTCCTCCCTCTCTATTCTTTTTGGAACCAGGACAACTTTACATGGGGTAACACTCGTGTTGTCATCGGCGAAAAGGGAAACAAGCAGGTGGTTGCTATCGACGACCAGGAGGGCTTTGATCCCAGTCTCATTCCACTACACCAATGGGTTGACTACCCTTCACGCAACACTCCATCTCCAATTCCAAATCGAAATTATACCCAAAGTGCGCTCTCTGGTTCATTTTCGGCTCCCAAATTGAACCTCCAAAGCCGCACACCCACGGCACTGGGACATAGGTCTAGCGTTGGGGTGTTCCGAGATCACTTGACTGAAGTTCGGGGTAGAGAGACACCAGAGGTGTTTTTAAATCCCTCTGGCCGAGACAGCTTCACTCAAGAGATCATTCGCAACTCGGTAAAATCTTTGCTAGAAGAGATGAACTTGGACACGATTACGAAAGGACAGATACGCGCTCTTCTTGAACAGCGTCTTCACACGAGCCTGACAGGAGAAGAGCTGGAAATCTTCAACCAAGAGCTCGACAGTCAGCTTCAGCGCATATAATGGTTACAATTTGGTTTTAGCAAAAGATTTAACGCATTAATTATCATAATAATGGCGTTGTGTTGTTTATTGATAGAGGATTTATAATACATTAATAGTAAAGAAAAATTAAAGAAAAAATTGAATTAACTTGTTATTAATCTTTTTATCAATGTCAGTGGGTAAGATTCGGTAGCTTTATTCTTTGATTAAAGAAAAGGCGGGAATTGCAAAAAGCCAAGTGTATTTCGTCTGTTAAAATTTAATACGGCCCATCGGCAGCAAGAGTAGTGGCTTAGTTACTCCGAGATGGGGTGGTAACAATGATAATATTGTTTTTCGGGTGTGAGAACTCGAGTAGCTTGACTCACACAGTAAAAAAAAACAATAGAAGATGCCAGACCCGATATCTCAGCTCAATGAGTACGAATATGATATTGTTTTACACCAGTAGATCCCTGATATGCAAAGGCGTTCTTGATGTACATGAAAATTTGCGAGGGCCTTATCCTTATATATAGGCAGCGGAATGTCCGTACCGCGCGGAAGATCTTGACTGCCACCGTTCAACTTGCTAAACCTTCCTATTGCTATCGACGTGAAGACTACTGCTATTTCCTCTGCCCCCGTCGCTCTGGCAAGCGCTGCCGCTGTTGAATCCACTAAACGCTCCTCGCCTCTCAATAACAAAGTCAAGCAACTCAACAACATTAGATTCAAGGCCAGCATTATCAACTACGTGTTGCGTGTGTTGAAGATGCCTTTACGACCTTGGCTTTGCAGGTTACAAAGTTTGTTAGCCTCAGTAGTTTAACGTTCACGAGGCTCTTAGTACCTTGACCTTACTTAAAAAATTGCACTGTTTCGGGTCGATTTTCAGTTCGATTTATGATCTGCCCATGGTGTTTCTTCGGCAAGCCAGCATGTTAGACCAAACAGACAGGCCCATCTACCTTGGACTGGTCTTCGGGCTGCCCGAAAGGAGTTTGATAGGGTATAAGAAATTACATTTGGTGGCTTTTCGAAGATATTAAATCATGAGTAGGTAGGAAACAAGGTTGTTGCAATCTAGGATGCTGTTGCTAGGCTGCTTAACATATTTCCCAACTCAGAGAGCTTGACAGTATTACACGTAATCAAAATTCGAAAAAGGAGTTCCTGCGGCTTTCGGCGCTTAGGAACTTGGAAACCGAAGACTTAGCTCCTGGAAATTACTTCTTGCGGGTATTGTTCGTCGGAGGTTTCATTTAATGAGTATCAGATCAATTTGTGAGACTTTCCGCGAGAGTGGTAAGAGCAGAGAATAGAATTTGGAGGATGATCCTACCTTCAATGTAAGTGGAAAGGCACGCCTTGCAGGGATTATACGAGGAGGCGACAGTTTCATGACACATAGCTCATCTCCAATCAAAAGTTCGAAGTTCTGACAATTATTATTCCGTCAATGATAAGTTTTGTCAAGGCAATAGATCGGTCACACCTGCTTCTTTCAGTGATCTTCATTTTCTTTGACGCAGGTGGCGGGTAAGGACATCTGAGAAAGTGTTGCCATATTTCTTATGCGAGTAGATGCAACCTTGATATCTGAAAGATTATATCAATATCGGCAAACCTCTGCCGCGGAGGGTACCAAGAACGTAAACCTCGCGTAGGATATCCTAATGTGAATTCAACTCCGCCAAGAAATGTATTAGACCGGACGCGACTATCAACAGTCGCAAATCGTGTGAAGTGGCATGGCACGTTACACTCTGGGTTGAGTCCGGGCACGTTGCCGATTGGTTCGGGAATGGGTGGGCGACTTCGGACTGGTCCTCCGGAGACATCTTCTGTTCGGCACTTGAAGATGTGTCATGGAACTGCTGTTTCTGGTGTGTCACATCAAAGTATTCCTAGTAACCAAGATGGCTCCTACGATACGAGTGGGCCGATCGAGGGTGTTGTTTGCTGGGATATCCGCTCATCATTCGAAACACTCGCTTGATGCAGAGACTCCTGCAGACAACCCCCCCGGACACTTACATCTTATAGTGACATCCGCAGCTGATGCAAAGGTCCGCGATCGACAGTTTAGGTTATACTTTACGAGGAAGAGAGCGTGCCCAAACCACGTTTGCGCTCGCTTCGCGCTCGGTTCTTCGCAGCGAATGAAAGGTGCATGCATGCGGATGCTCTTTTATCAATGCATTAGCGGCTCACTAACGTTCAAAATCTCCTCTCAAGATTCTTTGACCCAACAGCAAGGATCGCTGTCAAGCGTTTTGTTGATCACGGATTTCTGTCCGATTGGAGGGGTTTTAACTCTTCTCCCATCTTGCTTTGGAGGTGGACAATACTCTTGTTTTCAATACATACTATGCACTCAATGTATGGTAGGAACGGATTAGATCATTGCCAGTTACAATATCACTGGTGCTTCGTTTAGCCTTGGCCGCGCGATGCCGCTATATCCTGTACATTATTTGGTTTTAAAAACCATCCCCAATGTTGAAGACGGACTATTCGATGCTTGGAAGGCCGTCTTTAGCAGCGCCTAGCCGCAGCCAGGGGAGAATCTGCCAGCCGAGACTCCCCACACCAAACGCAGGGGACGGAGCGTGGATGGTTTCTGAATTGGGACAGCCCTCCGAGTGCTGCCTTAATTGGATGGTAAGGATGAACTACCACAATCATTTTCTGCACTTTTTTGAACTTTGATACTCGTCTTTACGTGCAGGAAGGGCTCAAAATATGACATTTACCTAAGGCCGAGCTGCTTAACCCTGCACCTAAATTTTCCAGCAATAAGCCGATACATACGTACGAAAACGTCCTCTTAGCCGTGGCACTTTGTTTGTAATGTTACGTTAGAACAACGGAACCTTGAAAGGACTTTTGTAATAAGCCATCGTCGCAGTGTTCCCTGTCGTGACAGATCAGGGACCACACCATTGAAGCGCCGTTTCAGAGCTCTCCCCTGGCAGTTTTGTCGCTCGCCTAAACGGGAAAGGATATTGCTAGAACTCGGCGTTAGTGTACTGGATCATGTAATGGTAACTGGCATTGATGAAACCTCAAGTAGCATATAAAGCCTTGATCTACTCTCTCCATTATGAAGTCTGTTTTACTGTTTGTTTGTCTTATTGTGTTATTGCTCTACGCCTCAACAACATCGAAACAACACAGGGCTTAATTGCTATCAAAATGAAGACTGCTGCTATTTTCTCTGCCCTCGTGGCTCTAGCAAGCGCTGCTGCTGTTGACCTCACCAAGCGAGCATCACCTCTCGATGTCAAGGTCGAGCAGCTCGGCAACACTGGATTCAAGGCTAGTATCACCAACACTGGAGACTCCGCGTTGCGAGTGTTGAAGACTGGCAGCATTCTTGACTCAGCGCCTGTCGAGAAGGCCAGGATTTCACAGAATGGTAAGCTAGTTCAGTCCTTTTGCTTTGATCCGTCATTGTTACCTTCGATTCGTTATTGTCATCTCCGATCCGCTATAGAAACTAAATAAACACATCACAGCCAAGAGTGTTGCCTTTACTGGTCCACGCTTCTTTATCCACACCGAGAATCTCTCAGATTCAGCCTTCCAGGTGATTGCTGCAGGAGAGACGGTCGAGGTTGAGTGGGACGCTGCGCAATGGCATGATCTGGGTGCTGGTGGCGCCTTCGATATCGCCTCTTCTGGTAGCCTCCAGTACGCCAATGAGGGAAGCAACACCATCGTCGGCCAGGTTATCTACAGCTCGAACACGATTCAAGCCACGGTTGACGGTACTCAAGCCGCTGAAGTCTACTCCGCCTTCAAAATCGCCCAGAACGAGAAGCGCGTCACAGTCCAGAGTGACTGCAGCGGCTCGAGGAAGACCGCGGTTACCAATGCCATCAGCAAGGCCAAGTCATACGCCACATCTGCCAGTGCTGCTGCCACGGCTGGAACCAGAGTGGACCAGTACTTCCACTCCACCTCAAGCAGCACAAAGAGCACAATAGCCAGTGTCTTTGACAAGACCGCTAGCCAGTTCAGCAGCAGTACCAGTGGCGCCGTCAAGCTCTACTGTACCGACGTCGGAAACTGGTGCACCGATGGCGTTGTCGCCTATACCCAGCCGGGCAGCAACGAGTACATCGTCTTGTGCGATTACTGGTTTCAATTCCCAGCCTCCTCCACCGCCTGCCACGCCGCTGACCAGCCATATGTTTTGGTCCATGAGGCTACACACTTGGTTGCTGTCAAGGGAACCGACGATGTCTGCTACGGTTATGAGGGCTGTGTGACTTCCATAAGCACTTCGCAGTCACTCAACAATGCTGACTCTTATGCCCTTTATTCCAATGGTATTCTGGCCAATTGCTGAGAGATTTGTTTTATATTTGTTTGTCTTGTTTGTCTTGTTGTTTTATTGTTTTACATCTCTCAATCAACCTTGTAGCTAGCTAGATGGGCAGGATGGTACTCAACACATACTAGCACCATCGGTTCCATCCAAAAATAACTACATTTGACAGTTTTATACCATTGCAATATATTTGTCTAGGATCTATGTACCGTGCTCTTCCTCGAGCTACTGCAGTCGCTCTAGACTATGATGTGCTTCTTGTTCTAGATGATTTTGAAGGCGGCGTGGGTTTCTACGTATATCGCATATCTCCAGACGGCAAAAATCGCAGCAATGTGACTTCAGAAATCGACTATTTCATGGCGAGATGTGCCTCTTACTGGCTCTAGAATTGACTTGTTATTACAACAAGCCAACATATATAATTCACAATAAGCGAATGAATACCTCGCATTAAGCTGGTCCACATGTTACGAGTATTCTTCCGGCCTACCTTGAGCTTCTCGAATTCACTCGCAACGCGGAGTCTCCATGCCCGGCGTTGCTAAACTACTCGACCTTAACATTAAGAGGTGATGCTCACTTAGTGAGGTCAACAGCAGCAGCGCTTGCTAGATCGATGAGGGTTGTAGAAGTAGAATAGGTTGAACTCTTAACTTATTCGCGACGACATGGACCTTGCCAAAGATAGAGATGCAACTAAGATGCTATATTTCAGCACTGGTGATAGATCATGGTGTGTTGAAGAGTGAGGGTTTGCTCTAAAAGTGTTGTCGGTTGAAGTAGGTGGTGGTCTTAGTGTGGTCACGATGCGGTGGTTTCATAGATAGATGTAAGATTACGAGTGGGTGTGGTTCACGGTCATTAAGGCTATTAAGCAGGCATAACTATCTTCGATAGATTTTACAGGAAATAAGTCACGGCCGCGAGGTAACTTTGTAACTATGGCAGGGTATGGACCTTCTATTAAGCTTGTGGGATAAATCTTAGTTTTTTTATCTATATATAAAGTGGCTAGGTCAAATCTGGCCCAAAAAATGCTTCCTTCTAGCATTTCCTACTCTTTGCTTTGCTGACCTCCTGTAGTGTTTCGTTGTCTTCCCCATTCCACAGGGGGAGATGGTACTCGACGACGGAGTCTAGTTGATTCTTTCGTGCGCTCATGTTCTTGTGTACCCGGCAGATCAGGTTGTTGGTTTCGTTGTCGGGGGAATTCACAGTGTTCTATCTGGACTGTATGCAGCGACCCATTCGCAGAGATGTAATGTTGAGAACTCCAAATAACTCGTGAAGTTGAATGTGACTAATGCTCAGATGCGACCAATGATGTGCGAAGATGTGATATTGGTCCACACATACTTCAGCACTAGATCGGACAGTTGAGAAGCTCTTGATAGAGGAGGGAATGGCAGGTGTACGATAAGGCTCAGAAGAGCAACCAGGCCTGGCATTGAGAAACTTGCACACATTCAATATTAACTCTGTTCTGAAGTTTCTCGCAGACGAAGCGGATGAAATCAGGTAGGTACTTCTGTTGGTTGTCAAGGCCTTGACACCAACGCCCTAAATAGAAATCCTTGGTCTTGGCTGTTGGTCACCGACATTAATGTCTCAGTGCAGCCAGTCAAGAGACGTGTATGCACGGCTATCACCCTGCATCTCCACCTTCAGCTGCCCAAATACGAACGCCTGCATGTGGCGGTGTTCAGCCCAGTCCTTCTCTCGCAACCCATTGCTGCGCCATTTGGTGGTTTGGAGCGGAAATCTGAATGCAGTGCTACAATTGCCTTAGTTGTGACATGCGTTCTCTATTGCCTCGAAGCAAGGGCAGAACTAGCAGAAGAAGCATGGTTCTACGCTAGGGGTGTCGTAATCTGAATCCTGATTTCAGTTCAGCCTTCAGCTACGGAGGGGACGACCCAAAGATAGAAACAAGAGCTGCGAGACGGTGGGGGCAATATGCAGGTTACCAGAAACGTTGCGTCATGCAGCATCTTTTCCCCAATCATGGTGTTGACGATGCAGCCAGCCTTACCAACTGCACAGTTTAGGCCACGGGCATAATGCGGCTTAATCGCCACACAGCGGAAGCGGACGCATCTCCAAGGCACAGAAATGGCAAGGAATAAGCCAGAGGCGAACATGATCCTCGACCACCAGCTCGTCATATCAGACAGATCATATATACAACTCTCAGCCAATACGGAAGACCACCACGCCACCCCCTTTCAAAAAAGAAAAAGAAAGCCCAAACTAGCCGCCTGCGGTTTCCGTTGGCAGTAACCCTGCAGTGTGATAGTTCAGTTCACCCGCCCCCCAAAGGACTGGGCCGATCTCTCACCCCAGACTTGGGACGGTTGGTTCTTCAATCCCACCTACCCCTCCCTTTATCCCATCAACCTAGAGACATAATCCAACTTCACCGTCCCCCCTCCATGTCCAGTTCATTTACCACTTGATAGCGGCACTATAGCAACAGCAATGGTCGGACCAGCCAAGGAGATCATAGACAGGCTGGGCGTCGACTGCAAGGAAGGCGGCTCATTCTACGTCTGCCAAGACAAACCAGTCCAGTTCATCGGCTGCTGCACTCTCGATCCCTGCAAAACCGACGACGGCAACTGTCCCACGGAAAACCTGCGCAACACAACCTTCAACAAACTGTACTACAGCCAGTTCAAGGCCCAGAGCTGCCTCAGCAATGCCCCCCAAGATATATTCTATACCTGCGCTAACAATGATCCCCCTTTTATGGGATGCTGCGCCCAGAACCCCTGCCAATCCAACGGGTGCGCGGCGGCCAACCTCTCGTCGGCCGTGCTGAGCAAGAACAAAGAAAACGCGAGCGTCTTCCTTCCCGCCGAGGCCGGAACAAACTCTCGAGCTCTTTCCCCGGGAGCCACAGCGGGTATTGCGATCGGTGCCGTGGTCTGTAGTCTTGTCATGATTGTGCTCGGACTGATGTGGTTCCGGGGGCGAGCGAAAGCCAAAAGCAACAACCCATCAGGCCAACCGCCCAGCTGGATGAGCCCCAGTACAGCGACAACGCCATTCCTCGGGAACTACACGAATTTGAATACATCGATTAATGGAACACCGCCCCCCTACTCCTCACCACCAATGCAGCTGCAGGGGCAGCAGCAACAGGGTGGATTTTGGCAGTCACCGCCGGCCGGATCGTACCAGTTCCAAGGACCGTACGACAACCGCAGGTTGCTGGGAATGCAATCTAGTGGCTATGTACCTGGTTTAATAAGTAGCAATGAGGATGGGTGGCGGGGGCAGCAACCACAACAGACGGTGGTGCAGGAGCTTCCACCCCAGCATGGGTTGGTAGAGTTACCAGAAGAGCAGAAGGCTGGACAAGGCCAGATTCATCCTATTCAAGATGGGGACAGTTCTAATAAGCTGGGTAATAGTGGGTGACTGAGTAGGAGTTTCACATAGAACTAATAGTGTATGCTAGCGTTATCATTACTATCAATACATCACGTCTTCGTAATGCTTTAGAATCTGCTTGGTGACTCCTTTGCAAGATGACCGGGTTGTTCAACCTTCATGTTTTCATATTCAAATGAGATAGACTTTATGTCCGTCATTCCTTGACTGCTAGGTGCTTTGTTCACAGCAACGCTATGATATTATGCAATATAGAGGAGATATCAGATTCTGCCTCTGCTCATAAGCTTTTCTAATTTATTCCATCCATATAGGGCTAAAAAGAGTATACTAATACGACCTACGTTACTAGTTAATACTCCAGCAAGTAGCATTTCTAAAAATATTACTTTAAATGATTAGTTTCTATGCTAAACGATAAACCTTCGTCATACTTGTTCCATGTTATCTAGCTAGTTCCAGGCGGCCCTGTCACAACTTGAGACACATGCTGCTAAGAGCACTATTAATACCTATATAGGTTTATTTCAAGCTATTAATCTATACCTACGGGGTAGGGATGGGGCAAATGCTTTTGCAACTAAACAGGCATCTTGATCATTACCCCATCTTATAGTTACCGCTGCAAAACCCATCTTCCACGGCCGAGTTGATTTTGCATGGGGACAAACAAGATCAAAGCCAGATGGAAGGGGGGTCGGTGGTGAATCTGGGACTCATGGAAGGCTCTAATGCGGCCTCAATAGCAGCTTTCTCCGAAAACACTGTATTATACCTTAGAACATATGTATTATTAGAGTAAGAATAATATACGCTTTCTAACTCTTATTTAAAATGAGAACATGAACCCAGACTGACCATTGCGCGTGCAACCGAATTACCGTCACACTATGGAGTCTCGAAATTTCAAATATCACCGCAACATGAGTGAGATATATGAGAGGGGAAATCATCGTGTCATCCTATATGCTGCAAGAAAGATCGTTCTGCCTATTAAATTGGTCCAAGTAAACCTGACACACCCAGTTGAAAATCACCTCGGGTTTCCTAGTGGCTTGATGCCGGTTCCTCCACCTATTGATTACAGCACAGCTGCTCCATCTCCGCAAGGAAAGCTCAAGGAACCATTTCGCCAAAGAATCCCTGGTCAGCCATGAGCGTCTCCCAGTCCAGCCCCAAGCTGTACCCGTCAACACCAAACTCCATCTCATCCGCCGACGCCCCCAGCCCAGTGTCGGGCGTCGACGCCAACGACAGCTTCTCCACCCTCGTCATCAGGATCCCGTGGCAGTGCTCCAGGCTATCCCTCGCACCGCGCGCAACCTCCAGCTCAACCGGCAGGTCGTTCTCGATCGCCTCGGCCGTCGCCAGGATCATGCACAGGAACATGTGGTTCTTGACGTTGGTCTCCCCCAGCCGGATCCTCTCCTCCGAGAGCGCCGTCATGTCCCGTATCCCCTTCTTCAGGTGCTCGCGGTACTCGCCCACGCGCCCCAGCGTCCCGTCGAGGCTCTGCGCCTGCGCCTGGAGGAGCAGCTCGAGCCCCGTGGCCATGCTGCACAGCCGCACGCCCTCGCGGAACAGCCCGCCCCCGGAGACCATGAGCCTGGCGAAGCCGT